GCCGAGCGGGGTTGCTGCGACGGGGCTATAGATACGAACAGCAGGGAGGACGACCGCTGGTGCTGGTCACGGTGACCTGAGAGGGATCGCCGGTTGCAGGGGTCACGGGAAGGTGGTCGTCGTCGGGTTGCTGGGCTCGCTGGAAGAGGTTGGTCGCAGCAGTGATGCAAGGTCTCGCGGTGGAGCAACTCGCAAGAGATGGTGTCGCTGCGTTGCTGTTCTTGGTTCGCGGTCAGGGGAAACTCGCCGGAAAGAGCGAGAGGATGATGATCGGAAAAACGAGAGGGAGGGTGAAGGGAATGGCGACGGAATTTCAAGAGGAAAGGGAGCGAGATGGCTGCGGCTATACTTTGCGAGAGAAAAGAGTCAGATAATGAAAAGCTGCGCGGTGTGTTTTAGTCGTGAGGGAGATGTGAGAAAAATATAAAAGACTTTGGGTTAAATAATCTTATCTCACAAGATACACACTCAGACACACGCACAAAGAAAATCGGGTCGGGTTCAGGGGTCCGATTCAGCCGGGCTGAGGCGCGGGTCAGGCTCGCGGTCGGTTCGCCAAACGATTCAGGTTTTTGGTTTTTCTCGGGATCAATTCAATTGCACGATAGATTAATTAAACTGGATATTATTTATATATATAATACACACAATTTAATTAATTAATAATAACATTTAGACATTTAGGCATTAAATACAATTAGACAATTAATAATATTTAGACATTAAATAATAATAATAATAATAATAATAATAAAATTATTATTATTATTATTATGATAAAATAAATCTCAAATAATACATAATTAAACGGGGCGCTACAGTCGCCGATCGCGACACGACCGCCGGCAACCCGCGACGACCGATAGACACGAGCCATCCACCGCACGCGAGACGTCCAGCTGCTCCCGGCGATCCGTTCGTGTTCCCGACGTGTTCGTGTGCTAGTCCCGGTCATCCTGAATCCATCAGATTAAGAAAATTTCAAGCTGTATGTTTTCTACGTTAAACCTTTAGATCTGCTGCGCATAAAATTTACGTTTGCTATTGAATTCGTAACGAGATACTTATAGATCCCAATACGGATTTATGGTCAAAGCCTCGGCCCGAACAAATTTCTTGATTGGCATGAGTCCTCACTCCTACTGGCCCAATAAAGCATTTTCCAAATAATTATTGTTGGACAAACCCAATTGGCCCATTAGCAAATTAGCAAATCCTTGAGCCCAAAGTTTTGTAAAAGCCCAACACATCATTTCTCACTTTTTATTTATCTTTTTCCCTTTTTCTTTTCTCCCATTTAATTCCCGATCCCCTTCTTTCTCGTTCACCTTCTTCCTCAATTTGCAGCTCCTTCATCCACCAAGATTAAAAATCGATCTACCACCCTCAAATTTCTCCCAATTTCTCATCCTGTTCAATTTCTTCGTTTTCTTATTCAAATCCCCGAAATAGAAAATATAATATTTAAAAAATTATTTTAGTTTTTTTCTAAGCTTCACTATTGATTTATTTATTTCATATTATCTAAATTTCATAGTTCCATGCATTATCAAAAAATAACTCTAAATAATATATTTTTTTAATTATGTTACATATTTAAATTAATAAAAAAAATTAATCAAAATAATATTGAGATAATATATTTTCAAAATAACATTATTATAAATTTATTCAAAAATATTTAAAAATATCATTTTATATACGAATAATGTTTTCAGTATTATCAATAGTAAAAATAAAATTATTTTTTGAAATATTTTATTTTATAATTTTATTATATATTTATATTAACAATTAATATAGTATTTAAATTATAGTTCTTAACTTTAGTTTTTGATATTTGTTTTTATTTTAAAGTAAATTTTTATTGAGCTTTTTGCTTAAATGTAGCTTAAATGAATTAATTTTTTACTATGATAATTTTAATAATGATTTTTATAATTATTTAGAATATAAATTTCAATATATAAGTATTTTGGTTTACATAAGTATGTAAAAATATGAAGTTAGTTGAGGTCTTAAGTTGAGAACTACAATGTAAAATTAGACATTCAATTGAGAATAACTTAAAATTGAAACACTCAATCGAGAAGTTGAAAATTCAGACCTTATTGTTACAATATATAAAAAATTGAGGAATATTATCTGCGCGTTTTCTCTTGATATTTCTAAATTTGCGCCAAACTCAACCTCCGTCCAACTTGACGGCGCGTGCAGTACACATGCCTTTACTGCGACAATTATTTTTTCTTATATTTTTTATTTTAAATTGAAATTTACCATTTGCCCCGCACTTTTCTACCTATTGTTGGGCAAAAATTAATGTATTTGACTGCTCCCAGAGTTCAAACTCAGCCAAAACATCCATAGGCAAAACAACAAACCACTCTGCCACCGTCATTCAATTGTATATGTTTAACACACATTTATTTAAAAGAACGCAAACAGAGGAGAATTTTATCGAACGAAACATAGAAAATAAAATAATCATAAAATAAATTAACTGTAAGAAAATATAATTAAAAATTAAATTAAATGTATAATTTAAAAATAATAAATAAATAATATTATTAATTAATATAGAAATAAAATAATACTTTCATTTAAATAACTTACAAAAATAAATATAAAATATATTGAATTTAAGTAATATATATATATAATTAAATTTAAATTATTAAAAATAAAATAAATAATACTTTTATTTATAATATATTATTAAAATAGTAATTTATTGAAATAAAATATTTTGTATTCAATATTTTTTTTAACAAACGATAGAGATACTCATACCATCACTGAAAAAAACAGTACAAAGTTAGGGTACACACAAGGACACATATGAGCCGAATACAATGAGAGAATTGCTAGCGCTAGCAGCCTAAATCAATACTTACTACTAACACCCTACATCAGACCAAAGAGTCGAAGGCAGCCTGTGCAGGCTGATCCCTCCCACCCCGACTTACGGACCAACAATACACATGAAATGTACAGATACACCAGATAAACACGACAAGCCAACCTATGATAACTAAACAGAGAAGATACCACTGGCTCGAGACCTAGAAATCTTCCCAGTTCAGCCTCATACACCTCAGCCCCTGGATTTCATAAACTACTTACAATCCTTCACTGCATTGTTGATAATCAGATGCTCCGGTTTCCAAGTCCCTTCAAATACCCACAAGTTCTTAGCTTCCATAACCACCACAATATATAGGTACACAACTGAATTCGATCCACTGAAGAAGCCTTATAATCCATTGTACAGGCCCACCACCACCACTCCTTAAAACTCAGATGCTCAGATTGAGTTTTAAGGAGTGGTGGTAGTGGAGCAACAAGAAGAAGATATAGCTCGAATGAGAACTAAGAGAGAGAGAGTATGGGAGGTGGCGTTTTCATGTGTATAATTGTGATTGAGATTCTCTTCTCATGAGCTTAATGATGTGTATATAGAGCTGCAGTAGGGACCCTTAGGAGATTAGAAATAGAGCTCCTTAATTAATTAGACTAATTGTGGGCCAAGCCTACTTCTCTAATTAATTAAATAATATTACTGGGTCACCAACATCATATTATTGCACTTCCTTTTCCTAGCCCAAATTACATTTGAGACTCCAATAATAATTACTCGATTTATCTCCCACGTTTAAGATATATTGTCCATTAATTATTATTATTTCATCGAAGCTAGGGCTCATTCATCACATTTTTATTATGCCGGAACTTAATCCACCTGCAGGGTTTAGCATAACAATCCTTCATGAACGCACCCTGGGGACATCATCAAACTAACGCACGTGGTGACAGTAAATATCATAACATCACATCCTATATATAGCAATATTACCCGAAACAGTAGGAATATTAATCCAGCGAACTGAACCTCACCCAAGTGAATCAAAGTAATATATACTATATATATCTGCCTGTTTAATATCTTACGGGTTAAGAGAACGCAGTAATTAACTGAGGCCTAGTTTATTTACGACGATCAGTATAAAATGAACTTCTTCTCTATGAGATCCTGTTCAATACATAAATGTATTAGTGCAACTAATCAGTCAAAACAAACTGTACAATTGACACTACAACTGTTCGGATGGGTTGTTCATGTCTATCTAGGTTTTTGAACAACTATTCTTGTTCGCAAGTAACTGATAGAGTGATCTTCGGTTCGCCCGATGACGACTCACTCTATCTAAGTGCAGAACAACAGAACGTAGAACTTGTTTAATCTAACATGATTCTCATTCATAAAGGGCAAATGTGTAATAACATGCAAAACCAAGCTTTCAGTATATAATACTAACAAAAAATACTATCAATATTCAAAAATATTTTTATATTAATCAATATTTCTTCATTCGTTTAAAACATGCAATTTTTAATACTAGTTTAGTATATATATATTTTTTTTATCGAAACGATAGATAATATTATAGCTTGCAATGTACATGAATACAAACCGAGAGTCAACTGACTCTAATAGGGAGAGACACCCACAACCGAGTGTTCTAAAACTAAACCTACAACAACGCACACACTAAACACTCCCAAAGGGAGAAAAGACAAACCAAAGTTCCCAACAGGAGAATAGACACACAAAAGCTCCCAATAGGAGAATATACAAAACGCACCCCCAACGGGAGAAAAAGAAGGAAAACACGGCCTACACACAAACAAACAGTAAGAACACAAAAGAAAAAAACACAAACACCACCTAGAGAACTAGACTAAAGCCCTCCTCACTAGCCTGACAGCCCCGCCAAAACGCCACTACTCCAAACCACCGACGGTGTCCACCCAAAAGGCAGAAAGTACGGTCGAAGATCCAGATCCAGAAACTCTCTTCAAACAACGGATGACCGGATCCCGGCCAAAGGCCAACCAAACACCGCCGAAATAACACCCAAAGGCCCTCGTCCACTGCTTTCCAACACAATCCGGTGACCGCGGATCACCATCGACACGGATAAGAGCCATCCCCGCCACTGAGGTCCACACCTTCCAAACATCAAGGGAAGGTCAGACAGGGAAGAAGGAGACGTCTAACCTCAACTCGATCGCTGACCGAAAAGCAATCGGAGCCGGCCACATCGAGATCGCCGAAAAATTGCCGAACAACCCACCTCCGCAAGGCCGTCCAATTTCAAGGGGAAACGCCATCACAGTGGGATCCGGTTTTTCTCCTGTCATCCTTCAACCGCCTAGGAGCCGCAAGGAGCCGCGGGGGCAGAGCCGTGGCCGGCGAGAGGGCGCACGCAGAGGAAGAAAAAAAAAGAGAGTTTAGTTGATGTGGGGAGAAATTAGTTAGAGAGAGAAATTTGGTGCAATAAACTTAAGAATTTCCCAAAAAACCCTTTCTAAAAAGACCCTCGCAAAAATTGATATTGGCTGATCTTGTTGACGATTCCGTCTTCACGGCTGGAACAGTACAGACGAGAGAACAAATAACCCTTTCGAAAAGGACCCTCGCAAAAATTGATATTGGCTGATCTTGTTGACGATTCCGTCTTCACGGCTGGAACAGTACAGACGAGAGAACAAAAACGGAGTAGAACCGAATGTACCAAAAACACAATTAAACACGCAACACAAGCTGCCAAAACCCAAATGAGAGAAATTTCAAATCCATGGATTTTGCCCCGTCAACCAGGCAAAAGGCCAAAACAAACGCTCTGAAATTACACACAACTTCCCTCTCACCTTTTTTCATCTCCTCACTGTCGTTTCTGTGAGTAGTCCCATCAGTCTCCCCTAAGCTCTGTATCTCTCATTTACACGCAGTGGATGGTGTGGGGCGGGTCATGGTGCATTTAATGCGGGACCCCTTGTTTTAGCTGCGTTTCCCTCTCTCCCAGGTTTGGCCCATTTTATTTATTTTTTAAATTCCTTTTGTTCTCGGCAAATGAACATTGGGTAGAAGCCACTAGTTCATTTGTATGTTTTTCTTTTTCTAAGAAAAGATTGTCAATCCAAGCTTTGTCTGATTTTAGACTATTTTTCTTGTTGTTTCCAGAAATCTTGCTCAAGCCCTCGTATTTATTTATTTATTTTATATAGGATTACAGGGAGATATTAGCGCAACATTGTTGACTTTTGAAACCTTTTCTTGTGTTTCTTTTTTTTTTGGTAGAGTTGCTGGCTGTTGAGATTCGAAGCTCACACCCAGATCTATTTCCTACTGAGCTGCCACAAATATTGAGATTGTTCAAATTTATTTAGCTCAGTCTCTGGATTCTAATGAAGAAATGATATATTTGTGCAGAAATTCCGCGACAGTCTGAGAAAAATCCAGTTAGAGTGGATTTTGTGGGTGTGCAAAAAATGGAGGCTAGAATGAAGAAGTATAGGCAAGTGAGCCCTGAACGAGCCAAAGTGTGGACTGAAAAATCGCCCAAATATCACTACAATAATCCTCACTATAACCAGCAACAGCAACAGCAGCAGCTGCAAAGCAATCGAAAAGTGCCGGTGGTTTACTATCTGTGTAGGAATCGGCAGCTCGAGCATCCCCATTTCATGGAAGTCCCTCTCTCTTCATCTGATGGCCTTTACTTGAGAGGTAATCTAAATGAGTCACTTCACTTTGAATGTGTACAAGTGTTGGATTTTTCTTGGTGTGAATTGCTCTTGAATTTGATGGTTATGTGTTTGTTTCTGTAGATGTGATTGAAAGGCTTAATGCTTTGAGGGGCAGAGGGATGGCTTCGCTGTATTCTTGGTCTTGCAAGAGGTGAATACAATTCTTGATTTATTTGACTCTTTTTCTTTTTTATTCAGATTTTTTTGCCTTTGCTAGTGAAGTTCAATTTGTGGGTGGTTGCAGGAGTTATAAGAACGGGTTTGTGTGGCACGATCTTTGCAATGACGATTTAATCCTTCCTGCTCATGGGAATGAGTATGTTCTCAAGGGGTCGGAGCTCTTTGATGAATCCAATCCCGGTAAATATTAACACTTAATGCTGTTTCCTATGATTTAATGTTCAAATGTGGTGAGCTTGTTTGAGAAAAGGCTGCTCTGGTCGAACTCTTCATTTCAAATCATGTCATTATTTCCATATATTACATAACGAGTTGCAAGCAACTAAAAACTAAAAAGGAATTTGTCAGTGCTTTATTTTAGTTAAGCAATAAAACTTGTGACACAGAATGTTCTATATACTGGTGTTAATGGTAAAATCTCCCCAAACGTTCACCCCGATAGCTTCTTCCAGACTTGCTGGTTGAAGAGAAAAGCAAACGTTTACCATTTTTGTTCAAAGATATTTTTTAATAGAAAACAAATAAATATTAACTGACTTCTTTCTTTCATTCTTTTTTCGGGTTTTAGGCAACTTCAGCCCTGCAGCTGAAATAGTCACTCTCCGTAACCAAAAAGCGCTTCCCGAGCCACCACTATCTTCCAGAAGCCAGGATGAGTCTTCTTCCTCTTCCAGCCTCAACCCCAAAACCTCCCAAGAAGACGAGTCATCTCCTTGGAACAACTCTTTGAGCTTGGCTGAGTACAAAGTCTACAAAAACGACGGCCTCTCAGATGCCGCCACTCAAACCGACGACAACTCCGCCACCTGTACAAGGGGCGTCTCAACTGAAGACGAAAATAATAATATTAATAATAACAATAATAATAATAATAATAATCAGGCGAAAACAAATTCTGAGATATTTGTCTCCCCACCTCAGTCGACGTCAAGCGCCACCTCGTCAAGTGGCAGAACGGACACATTGGAATCACTCATTAGGGCAGATGCCAAAAAGTTGAATAGCTTTCGGATTCTTGAGGAGGAAGACTTCCGGGACCCGCCATCCAAGCTGAAGGCTTCGAACATGATAATGCAGTTGATATCTTGCGGCTCCATATCAGTGAAGGACCACAACAGCTTCGGGATTATCCCGACCTACAGGCCGAGATTCTCACACTCCAAGTTCCCATCTCCGCTCTTCTCGAGCTCGTTGATGCTTGGTGGGGCAGATTGTTTGGCTCAAAATCCCCATCGGGTGGGAATGGAAGATAAGGAGTACTTTAGCGGGAGTTTGGTCGAGATGAGTATGGTTAGAGAAGGAGTGCCTCATCTCAAACGTTCGTCGTCATTCAATGCTGACAAGTCAGTTTGTTTTCTCTTAACCCCTGTCGTTATTCTCTTTTTGTTTTTTTTTTCTTCTCGTAAATGCATGTCATGGGGTTTTTTCTTTTATGGGATAATTTGTTTGTGATTGAGGGAAATTAATTGTGACTAACATGGGAATAAGTTTTATGCGGCTCCATAAACTCAGAATTTGCTGAACAAGTTTCACATAAATCCACTTTTCTCCGTTCTAATTCTAGTTTTACGTTATTTTCTTCACCATTTTAGTCCTACTTTCTACACCGTATAGATGTATTGCTTCTTCTGTAATTATATGGGATGTTTTACAAATTTACCAAAATATTTGAAAATCTCCTGTTATCTTTGAGAAACTATTTATTACCACCTTAGAATGTTACATGCACCCCGGTTGAGGTATCAGGTGCGTTATTTAAACCCAATTTAAATGAGATCTCGAGTGTCACTTTCCCTTGTAATCGAGCACCAGATTTAGTTTCTTGGGTCACATAGATTTTATATAGCTCATTTTTTTGGCCCTGGCCATGCATAATATCTCTTCACCGTGCACGATACTTTTGTGGACAGTTAAAGGACATCAAATTGAGGAAAGCATTTCCATTTCCCTTGCTTTTTACCTTTCTTTTTTCTCCAAAGAAAAAAATAAATAAATTAATCTGTAATTTTGATTGTCCTCTTCCCATCTTCAAAGTTTAGTAATCCTGTGTGCTAATTCAGAAGTAGCGAGAAATTTGGTTCAACTGGCGACAACAAGGATGAAGGAAGCTCCACACGCACAAAGTGCATACCTCTATCAATCAAGTCTTCCTTAAGCAAACAGCCAAGATGCGAATCAATGAGGTCCCCTCTTTCCACAGGGCCCAGGATTTCGTCTGATCGAGCTGAGAGCTCTCGCACGACGACACCTGGCACATCCAACGGCGGGAGCAAGAGGATGACTGAGCCTCTTCCACTAAACAAACAATCCCAAGATTCGGATTCTGCCAGCTGTCACGTTGAGAGCGTGATCAAGATTGAAGAAAGTTAAAATAATTTCCGACTCTTCATCTCTTTTTTTGCTGAGCTCAACTGCCTCATTTCAATTTTCAAGTGTATTGAGATTTGTTTCTTTTTTGTTTTGTTTCAACAGGCTTGCTTCGGGAGCTCGGGTTATAATTCAATCGAAAGTGTTGCCGGACAGCAAGGGTGGCTTGTAGAAAGGGCGTGTCTTGTATTTTTGTTNTTTCCGTTTACCATATAGAAATGTCAGAGTTAAATATGTCGTATAATGATGATCGATAAGTTAAAAATGGAGGCTGTTCATATGTCCACCCCATCGGTAATGGTTTGCTTTTCTTTTTTCTTTTTTTTTTTTTTCCTTTTTTTTCTTTCTTTTGAGCTCAGTTATAAGCTTGCTTCTCTACTGAAAGTATGAATATTTACACTCTTAACAATATGCTAAGATACTGCTATTTTAATTCATTTGCTTTCTCTCAACAAATTTCATGATTGTTCTGATAAAAGAAAGACCAAAATAGTAAGTATATTGACAAAACCTATGATTTCAAATATATTTTCTTAGTTTGTTTTTCCTTCCTGCTAGTGAATTTAATTGAATCTTAGTCTACGTATATTTTATGGGATAGAGTCATTTGTTTTGTTTGATTATATTTCTATTTTGGTAATTGTGTGTTTGACAGAAATCAAGGAAATCTAGAGATTATTATTTCGTAAAAATTTGCACCAACTTGGTTTTGTCAAGGTCGAGACACTTGCAGTAGTTGGAAGATTTGTTTGTTTGCGAGTATTAATTGCCTTTGGTAAGAAAAAAATAAAAAATAAAATAAAATGTAATTTTAGACGTCCTATTAAAAAATCAAAGTATCGAATTTAAGAGAGATTTGGGACTTGACTTGCTGCTCCATTAGGCATTGGATACTCAGATGTCTTGGACTTAAGCACGCTGACTAATAATGGGAAAAGCAACATAAGACAAAGTCAGAACGACTTTTTTACTTTATTCCACGTGAAGGGGCCATGTGGAGTCCAAATCTTCGGGTGCATAAAGATTTACAAAAATGATGGCTCTAAAGTCTAAAGTTTAAATTTATTGTATTTGTCATGCCAATACGGTTTCTAACCTTTGCTTTGGTGCTAAAGATTGAAATATAATTTGAAGCATTTTCATGTAATAAGTTTGGTTGTTATAAAGTCGGGGGCAATTTGCATTAAAAAGCGAAAAGAAATATTATCAAAAAGCTATAGTAGGTTAATATTAGACTTGCTGTCGGAATGAAAAATATTTGAATTAAAGCTAAGGGGCCACAGACCCGTTTTGTACAAAGGCCCTTACTTTTAGATGTGCATTACGCTCATTAGCAAGTCTAAAGCTTAAAAGCTAAAAAGTGCCTTTCAACTTTCAAGTAGGACTAGTACAAAATTGGTGTATTATACTAGTGCTTCTTAAAAAATAGCTTAATTGGCTATAAAACCCAACTCATTTGTCTAATTACAAATAAAACTCTATTTTTTTAGTTTTGCAAATAAATACCAAAGTTTTATTAGGTGTTACAAATTTGTCTCAAAATAATTTTCCGGCCAAGTTGATTTGACGTGTCCGATCAGAAATCTTACATAGCACTTGTTGTACCTCGAAACCTCGAACCGCTCAACCGCCTTGAACTGCATTAATTTTCTTGACAAAACATGACGGGGGTGGTCCTAGCGCGGGCACTCCGACGCTCAAGTCAGTAGGGTTTCGAGGAGATGATAAGAGTATCAGATTTACGCGTGGGTGTGTTCTTGTGTACGGATGAAAGAACATGTCCCTTATATAGACCCAAGCGACTTCACACGGTAGGACTTTAGGTGTCATAGAGTCCTCTTTCAGCCCATCTCTTCGTAAGTTATCCAATCCCAAAGGTCCACCTTCGCTCAACCTCCTTGAGCAGATCATGTGCATTCTGCCACTCGGACACACCAGCTCGGCTTTCCTACCCACGGTAGCTCGTCCTCTACTTGATTACGCCGAGCTTCTCCGTAAGAATCTTCCCCATACGAGAGCCAACTCTGATAGCTAACCTCCTTAATGACCAGTCGATTCTTGATGGGGCGGGCCGAGCTCACCCAAACCTCCCTTGTTTATTGTAGCTATCATTGCTATTAGTTCGTCAAGGGTTTTGGGCTAGCTCGGCCGATCAAACAGGATTCCGTGCCAAGCCGCATCTTAGATGCTATATCATCTAGCCTCCCCAGTTTTTGGTGACGAGCTATCTTAGTCGAACAGAAAAATGTTATTAATATACTGGCGAGTAGAACCCACGCCCCTTCTCGTGCGTGGCACCGCCTCTACAAATTCCATCCCATCGAATCTGAAGCGACGTACGTCAGAATCTATGACGTGCATCATCATTAATCCCAGGCATGATGATGGGCATACCCCGAATCCCGAACATGATGTCACCCTCACCGGGCACTGAATCGAGATGGACAACTGTGATTAGCCGTCCTTTCGTCTATTAATCCTTTGTACGCACGCCTCCTATCCGAACCGTAGATGAGAAATTAAAATTGACGGCCACGATTGGCCGACCTTCCCCATACCCTTAAATTTGCTGTGCTAGGATAAATACTAGAGGCCACAATTTTTTCTTCACCTTTATCTGCAAACTTCCATTACTGCAAACCCTTACTCCAACTCTCAGCATTCCTCTTCTCCGGCGAATTTTCAACGGACAACAACAATCTCACACCACTGTGATCATGTCTTTCTTCGGTGAGTGTCGCCTTATTTTTCAAACTCAAATTTTGCATACCCCCAGCATAACTAACTTACTAATTTATTGATACTGTGTGCTCCATCGCCATTAGAGGACCTCGTCTCTCTGACTAACTCGATTTCATACTCTTCTTCCAACTCAGAACCTCAAGGAGAGTCGTCGATAAACGTAGGCTCAACGGAGATGACTCCGTCCGCTGTCAATAATAAGGGTAAAGCCGTAACCCCCGATGCCCCTGTCCTTAGGTCGGCTCCTCCTAATCCTCTTACCTCGTATTCTACCGATAGGATAGCTAAAATACTTGAAGAAATCAAACTTCCGCGAGGGTGGATCCATAAGGTTCCTCGTCGTGGGAATACGTACACTAATCCTCCTCCAGATTTTTACACCTTCTTCCTCGATCACGCCGCCGCCGGGCTTATATTCCCCCTTCGCGACGACCTGGTGGAGCTTAGCAAGTTATACTGTCTTCCTTTGAACCATTTGTTGCCAAACGCCATCAAGCTGCTCGTAGGCTTCATAGTGATATGTCGGGCTAGATTAGGTCGACTGGACCCAGAGTTGTGCTTCTATTTCCTGTGGATGAAACCCCTAGGCACGTCGTACTACCTTTCCACCCGCCATAATGCCCATTTCCTCGGCCAACCAAAATCAAAAATTCACAACTGGAAGAACAAGTTTTACTACCTTCGCCCTCCGCCGAACACCTTTGACTTCGGCCCTGAATGGATTCACGAACTTCTCGAGCAACGCTCTAACCCCCAGCCCAACGCTGCTTATGATGACATCATCGCTCGATGGAACCAACGACCGCTACAAGTAGTGCCAATAACCTCTGATGCTCGTCTTTTAAACACTTTAACTTATCCAACCGCCTGGCCGAGGCCGTGGAGGACGTCGGTAGGTGTTCGCTCTAACGAACTGACCATACTTTATACTTGCGACCCATACTAACATCGTATATCCTGTGTAATAAATTTGAATCTTTTTAGGTTATTATGGCCGCGTCACAAAAATGCATTGTAACGCCCCGTTTTATTTTAAATAATTTACCGAATTTATTTATAAAAATCATAGTTTATTTTTTCGCAAAATCCCAATTTAAAACTTTAACGTTCAACGGGCGCTACATAAACTACTAAAACAAATAAACATTTACACAGATAAATCTAACAGTTCAAAATAAAATCCCAATTATTCATAATCCTCAAACCCAGTCATGCATAATTAAAAATTCAATGAAAAAATCCATGGTCAAACAAACATGTTCAAAATAATTAAAACAGAAGCATAATTATTCAAAGTTAAACAAATGGTCCATCGAGATAATAAAAGCGGATTCAAGTAACACAAAATCCAACGACCACCACTCGATCGTCTCTCGCTGCTGCCGCCAACCATGCTCAACCTAAAAAGATAGGAAGAGGAACAAGAGGACAGAAAAGTAAATGGGGGTGAGTACAACCATCATACTTACCATTACCGCACAATATATTTCGCATAAAGATTCATAACTATAATTAATGTATGCATAGAATCCAGATCTAACTCCCTATTAGGCCCTATCGCAAACCTCCTATGTACATACAACAAACCTTCCGACCAGACGTCGGCAAGGATGTAATTGGAAGCACTCCCACCCCGGATGCAACGGGCATATGATATTATCCAGGAGACAGTGAAGTTGAAATACCCCTCCGGTCTACACGGATTCGGGTGTTCAGACAATCCCCTCCGCTCTACACGGATTCGGGCGCCCACCTCCCGGATACGACGGGCAGGTGAGCATTCGTCAAAGGCACTACCATCATGACACTTAGACTAGGGTTCTCACGCATATAGAAGCTATCGCGACAAACATTTATATGAAATAACAAGTGCGATAAATGTAGATTCAACATAAATGAACCCACCTGGTAGCGATCGAAATAAACACAAAATAAGGGTAGGCGGCGAGGTCGAATCGTCAAACACCTACATTAGTAAAATAGCCTTATCAAAGACTATTCTATAATCACTAAGTCTAACTAAGATCACGAAATCACTTAAGCACGCATTAAACAAGGAAAAACACATTTCCGAAAATATCACATAAGTTTTTGAAAACTTAACCCGGCAGCGTTTTTAAAACCGACATAACTTTCAGCATACAACTCATATGATCATGAATCAAGTTGCATTGGAATTCTAAGACATTAATCTACAATTCTTATGAAGACATCGAAAGCAAATAAGGCCATTTAGCAGGTGATAAATCAACAAACATTAA